TTTACCTAGCGAAGACGGTTAATCGTCATCTTGTAGGAGGTCAAAGTAGTGACCTTATCATCACCTTGTTAGTACAGTGCTAACCGTTCGACAACTTTTTTGAACGGGTTATTGATTATGGGTCGGAAATGATCATCAGCAACCACTCGGCTGCACGACATTGCAGTGGCAATGCCACCGGCCCTGACCATATCCTACTGCTGCGACTTTGTTGGAGATTCGCAAGCACCAATTATTCTGCCATAGGTCTCCAATTCTTTGGATGATTTTGAACTGTTGTAACCAAAACTTGTGCAGTTGCGGTGAAGAACTTTTCAATCCCATTTCAGACCTTGGACTGATCCTTAATGCGATCCCTGCGTAGGTATTCTTTAGCTCTTCAAAGATGACAGAGGTGATTTTTGAAGAGTACACTAGGAAGGTTTGTACCTAGCACTAGCCAACTGATACCGACAGTTTAGCATAGTGCGGAAGTGCATCGTCGTTTCAGAAAAAACGTGCTCGTGTTTGGTGAACTTTAATTGAGCAACATCAACTGGCTTATGAAGGTGACCAAGGAATATCACAGTAATTCCCACGACCGACTTTTTATTAACCTCGGCATTGATCAAGTAATTCTTCGTATTTTTGTTGAGCATGAGCTCGGATGTAGTTTATCTGATCTCCTGTAAGACATGCAGAGACGAATACATTGGCGAAACGGGCAGACCCCTCTGTGTCCGCATAAAAGAACACCTAGCCGGCAAAGATAGACCAAATACCCCGCTAGGCACGAATAGGACCCAGAGACATAACGAGGAGGACTTTGAAGTATGTGTGACAATCCTCGCACGCGAATCAAGAACACAAGCGCGCAAAACTCTCGAGACACTCTGCATTAATTCCAAGAATCCGAAAATGAACTGCTGGGAGGAATGCCTCATTATCACGCGTGATATAGGGCAGTATATAAGACTGTTATTCTGAAGGGAGGGGCACATTATGCTTCCATGTGATTTCTGTGCGGTTGGTCTCTACGTGACATACTTAGTGGAAACCTCATAGAAAGCGGTGAGTGTGCAAAGCTGTGTTCATTGTAATTGAAATCTTGGTTTAGATTTCCTTTCTTTGGTTATGGAGGTGTTTGGCCGAATAGATTGCTGTCAACTTGACCTCTCCAGGCTCTGAGGAAAGCGAAATCCGCCGAAACATGAGCTTGTCCGTAAATAAAGAAATAAAATAGCACCTCGTGTTTGCTGAACAGAAGTAGAAAGAATTATTCAATCAATGCCGAGGCTAATAGAAAGTCGGACTTGGAAGATACCGAAATACATTAAAAATAAATAGTAAAATCCTTCCCACTTCCGACAGCAGTGTGCATGGCAAGTGAAACCCGGGAAATACAACGTATATTGCCAACCATTCCATTCCTTGATGGATAAAGCAAATCCTCTTCTACGATTTTCCTAGCATTCTCAATCTCAGAACTCCTCTAAGTGTTGAAAATGTATCGTTTATCGTCGAAAAAGCTTGCAGCTGGTATATTAGGTGATAGACGAACTCACGGTTTTTCTTTTTTTGTTTTCAGGAAAAGTAACAGTAGTCGTATACGCGTTGATAAAGTATTGCCGAGTTACCATATTAGGAACCGTTAAAGTTTTGATGAGGTTTCAATGCCTGTTACTTGATTTTTATAATTTGTAAGCTAAGGGGTCGTCTTAGTCAATGAAATGGAATCATGTGGGATTTAACACAGGTTTTCTCATTAAATAGCAATTTGCTGGTAGGAATTTCAGATACAACTTCTTTTTCTTGAACCATGGAAGCCGTGTTAGGGACTTTTTCAGATCCTCACCACTTGCCAGCGAGCGACAATGTTTTGTCAGGATGATAGAGATTCCTCGCACAGATTTAATCACTACTAGAACTAAAATAGAAATATATAACTCTTTTTCTTAAGGGGATACCTTGTGCCCATACAGGACTGATTACCCAATATATGTAGGGATCAGTAGAAGATTTTTCTTGACTATTCAATCTGGCCCTGTATTTCGAATACGAATGGACGACCATTGCCAAATTACCGTCATCTTCGAATTTCAATTGTTCGATACTATTAATTTTATTTCTATCTCTACTCTACATTTCTACATTAAAATTTATTTCTAGCAGAGCGCTGGTGATGATGCTAAGATACAATTACAAGAAGGAAAGATATTGGTGCAACAGCTCCCAGGATCGACTTTCTATTGACCTCGGCATTGGAATATGAATGCGTCGTTTTCTTGTTCAGCAATCGCGAGGTTTTTAAACAGCATGCATTTAACTTTAATAGTGCTGAGATATTTGCAAAACTCCGCACTGCAGGTGTATGCGGTGGGGAACGAACGCGCTATTGTCCTTTCCGGGGAGTAGCGCGTTCACCACCACACCACGCAGGTCCTTGGTTTCGCCTGTCTCTCAGCTAGCTCTATCGATCTTTTGCCATCAGCAATCACCCGTCAGCGGGATTGATCTGGGAGGCCCAAATCGGCAGCGAACCGAGTTAAGCTGAGGCTGCGCATCATACCCTGCCGTGGAATGTTGTATTTTAAAACACTGATATCTTTAGAAAGGGCTCAATGCTGTACAAGAGCAGAAGTTTGGTCGTAGTTTTCTTTTTTCGCGTGTACGTTTTTCACTCATGAGTTTATTTTGATTCACATAAACGTCTTTCTTTTAGCGGATAATCGAAAAAAAGAGCAAATTTCTTCCTTCTTTCTTCTGCAAATTTCTACGGCTCAATCTGAGTTGTGATGTGTGATCCACACAGCAATGTCAGAAGTCGGTTTCACCAGTTAGCTTGGCTTGAAGGTTGGCAGTGTGATAGTGGTGATGCTGTTTTTCACAAGCACGGTGCTAGTTCGACCTGGCCACATGCTCACCAAGCCTCTCATCACCGAGGTACTGGGGAGTTGGTACTAGATTTATCTGGAAGGATGTTCACTCTCTGCAATCCAAAAGAGAAAACTCTATGCTGGCTAGTTCAAAACTCAAGGAAGAATTGAATTGCCTAGCATTCAGCGAGTTTCGTGAAAAAAGGAAAATCTTCTAACAGCAGTTTAAATCACACACGAAAATTTTGAAAACATTCGTGGATGATAAATGCGAGGGCACAAGTGGAGTGCGAGAAATGCTGTGGTTTACATTAGATGCGAAATAGGAGCCGTGTAAAAAAATACTTATAAAAGACGAACACATCGAACATGACGTCGTCTGTAGCGTCTAGAAAAACATGAAGGTGATTGTTTGAAGAAGATCCTTTTATGGGCTAGAGGTATGTCATCAACTGCGCGACTAAGTTTCTGCTAAAGCGACAGCGAATCTTACGATTAGTCAACTGACTGCTTCGCGGTGATCATATGACCTGACTTCTCCCTGAAACTTCTCCTTGGTATGGAGTTTTATTACAAACAGAGTGGACTCAATAAGTGCTTTTTTCTTTATTTTAATCACAGCTTTAGAACAGTGTAAGTTGTGGTTATCTGCTCACCGTTTTAATACATGAACAAACATGACATTAGACGGAGCGAAAGCATTTCACGATGTTATCAGATTTTTGCTTATTTAGCTTTACAAACTCGCCATGAAATTGTGCAAAGAAGCGGTTGCCTGCCAAAACGAATGCGATGGATCAACGGAAAATTACGAGAACCGTCGAATGTGGTTCACAAACTGTAGGATCGTTATCGGTAAATCTCAGCTTCTTATTTGGCTTTTATGCAACCGATTCTGAAATTTCCTCTTTTTCATTACCCTTGCTGACCTTTCGTTTTCGTTACTTTTTCTTGAAAGCAAACATGATAGCGTCTATGGCACGCGTTGACAACCAGCACAATGAAACTTTGAATTTGCCGTAAAGAATATGCTTTTGACAAATTTCTATACAAAGTTCAGAAACTGGTATAAGTACAAACGCCAATTCTTGCCACTCATATTAAGCCCTTGCTTTCGAATGTTTCCCTTTGCTACGAGGATTAGATCAAGTGCCTTCTCCTCGGCGACTTTTCCTTACGGACATGATGAAAGTCGAAAGCGAATGAGTAGTGAACTTCTCTCGCTTTGAACGCTTTGTTCTTGCCTCTCTCTTTTTCGAAATTTTATGATTGCTTTCTTTACTGACCGAAAACGTAGCGCTGTGTCGACGTTTTACCACTGAAACTGGAAACTACAACCACTTAGCTGATTATTGGTGTTGTACATAATATGGTTATTTTCGCTGTTATCTTCCTTTCAGACTGTTTTTATTTTTATTCTTTAACGTTGGTTATATAGAAAATCTTCTGATAGCAGGACGCTGTGCTGGTCTGGTTCGGGGGGATTAGCCATCGTTGAAAAAAGTTTCTCATTTAAAATCTTTTTTCATGAAGTCCAAGAGTTCTGCACGTGATATCCTTCATGAAACACTCTATTATAAACATAAGAGTTCATAAAAAGTTTTTAGAGTCAATGAAATTATCCAGAACAAGTAGTGTTTCAGATGTGATCTGGAAAAATGATGAAGAATGTTAGGAGTTATACCTGCCATTAAAAAGAAAAAGGCAGTAAATAAAAGGGTTAAGATTGTGATTATAACTAAACCTCAGCTTAACTGGGTTCAATGCCGATTTGGGCTCCCCAGATCAATCTCGTTGACGGGTGATTGCTGATGGCAAAAGATCAATAGAACTAGCTGAGAGACAGGCCAAACGGAGGACTCGGATGGTGTGGTGGTGAAGTGCACTGCTCCCCGGTAAGGACAATAGCGCGTTCGTTCCCCACCGCATACACCTGCCGTCCGGAGTTTTGCAAATATCTCAGCATTATATACGAATGTTAGGAGTGTTTGGGTGACAAAGATTTTTGGCTAATTTTAGCCCACTTCAATACTTCTTTATCATTAAAGAATAATGAGACAGAATGAAAAAATGATTTGATCTGGTCAATAGTAGAACATCCTTCTGTCCATCAATATTCTACCAACCTAGACTTGACGATTATCCTCAGATACTAACGCTTTCAGCAATATTTCTAGGTTCCATCTCGTCCCCATCCTGGAATCCATTATTATCTCTGTAGAATCGACCATTATTTGCCGATGATTTTCCATTGTTCGCTTGAAATCCACCGTTCGAGTACCATCCTCTACTTCCAAGGAGCCGTCTACTATCTTCTGAGAATCCTCTATTGCCTAAACAACAATTTTTTCAACATGAACATGTTGTTTTAAAACGCCCTGGATTTCTTTGCAACTACCTGATATCGCTGAATTCTCTTCCATATCCTGCGAATAGACCAGGAAAATATATGATACAACCGCTTTCTGCTTTTCGTTTAGCTTATTGTATGACACCTCACTTTCTTTGAATATACTCTCAATCGTTTGTTTCTGGAATAGCAAGACTTAAGTCGCTATCTCTTTCTTTTAAAGTGCTCTGAAAGTATGGTTGTTATTTGGGCAAATGGAAAATTTGCATGCCATGGCTCGGATAGTATTAAAGTCGCAGAACAGGAGTAAAAGTAGCAAGAAAAGCTATGGTGGAGGTCTTCCCCAAGTTTGCAATGTCATGATGAGCTAAAAAAATCGTTTAAGCCATTTGGAAAACTCGAAACCACAGGCCAGCTTCGAACCCACGATTACCCTTTCCAGAGGCTCACTTGTTACCCACTGCACCGTCTAGTTGGTTGTGTAACACATAATACCCTGCAGTGAAAAAATAACAGGCAGTAAACGAACCGTTAAACATTGTAATCCAAACACATTAATTCCTATAAAATTTTATTGCATTAATATGTTAATCAGAAGAGATTAATATATTTATAGCTGATTGATTAAGCGAAAAGAATGAAGCTCTCGGTGTGGATCAATTCCTGAGGGGTGTGTCATGCATTCGACTTCATAAAGCATAGTTGCAGGTAACTGAATGCATATCTGGCCTTTACAATGACTCACGATAGCCTACCGATGTATCGATTCAGTGCTGCTATCCTCACAGACGGGTCTGGTAACATTTTATTGACACCCGTGGGTTGGAAGTCTTGGTGAGCCTGGGACATGGGATCGAACCCATATGTATCGCATGGTACCTCTTAACCACTGCACTGAGCGCGTGTGGTTTGATTAATTGTAAATAGCCTTTTATTAAGTTAACTTGATGTCGGTATAAAAATTTTATTCGTCTGACATTGTGCTGCACTGGCATTCTCTATCCGAGTTTCACTTCGAGTGGTGCTCCCTTGAGTGGATTCGACTCAGTGCGACTACGAGCACCCACATTGCGACAGAGACCAGCTAGGTGTGAGCACCTAGTCAGATCAGCACGGCTCTTGAGAAGGCTACAGCGACAAAATATTATCCGAATAAAACTATGGCAACCTCATGTGGGCTCAATAGTGTAAAAAAGGATATTGATTGCTACTGCCAAGATTCAATGAAGGTTGCTTTTAAAGATGATTGCAAGTACTTCAATTAGGCTTCATATATATGTGCATAAATATACATATATATATATATATTTATATACATAAACATAAAGTTGAAAAGGAATTGGTGCGAAAAATATATGTTGGATAAAAACTCAGTTTCAAACCTTGTCGCTGCCAAGCTTCACGTGCTCTTTGATGAACGTGCTCAGTGCTGTGTACAACTCAGTGAGCGAACGTGCGAACTCTGCTTGTTCCTTTTCATATTTAGCCAATAGAGCCTTGTATTTTTCCTGAACAAGAATTTGAAAGGTCTTCATTGGACCACTGTATTTAGGCAACATCTACCTCAACACCGTACTTTTTTGCCCAGCGTTCCAAAGACGCCTCTAACTGCTCCAAAGTTTGCGAGATATTCTGAAAAGAAAGCCAGTGGTTATAAAGATGCTTGTGTTCTATCAGTAACAAGCATCAGTTTAACAGCAGAAAAACAGTCATGCTTAATTTTGCTAGTTAAGGTGACGATAAAAACATATGATTATGAATTCTTCGTATTTTTGTTGAGCAAACGCAAGATGTTATTATTCTCTATTCACGAATAAGCAGCCGTTTCGGCGGATTTCGCCTTCCTCAGAACCTGGAAAGGTTAAGTTGATAGCAATCTACTCGGCCAGACGCCTCCATAACCAAACAAAGAAACTCTAAAACACGATTTCAACCACATTGAACACGGCTTTGCACACTCACCGCTTTCTATGAGGTCCACTAAATATGTCACGTAGAGACCAACCGCACAGAAATCACATGGAAGCATAATGTGCTTCTCCCATCAGAATAACAGTCTTATATACTGCCCTATATCACGCGTGATAATGAGGCATTCTTCCCTGCGGTTCATTTGCGGATTTCTGGAGTTAATCCAGAATGCCTCAAGAGTTTTTCGCGCCTGTGTTCTTGATTCGCGAGCTAGGATCGTGACACATACTTCAAAGTCCTCCTCGTTATGTCTCCGGGTCCTATGCGTGCCTAGCGTGGTATTTGGTCTATGTTTGCCGGCTAGGTGTTCTTTTATGCGGACACAGAGGGGTCTGCCCGTTTCGCCAATGTATTCGTCACCGCACGTCTTACAGCGGGATCAGATAAACTATACCCGAGCTCATGCAATCACCGTCTCTACCACTGGGGCAAATTATGCAATTTTGAGTTGCACATATTAGATGAACTATACCCGAGCTCATGCAATCACCGTCTCTACCACTGGGGCAAATTATGCAATTTTGAGTTGCACATAGACGGTCATATAGGCGGTTACGAACTAGCTGGCGCTTAAGATTACTCGGTGGTATTTCAACTACGCTCACCGAATTCTCTAAGCCCGCCCTTCTTAAGCAGCGTTTTATAGCTGTACTTATATCATTTGAGATGAAGGGTAGGATAAACGGGACCCTTCTATCGCTAGAGTTGTCGTTTGGAGGCCTACGATTTCCTCTACACCTATCCTGAGCTACAGTTTCGTATCCATTAGAAATGGCTATTTGCCGTGGCAAGTTCCGGGACTCCTCTCTCTGCTCTCTTCCCGTGCACATGTTGGTTGCAGTTCGAAACATGTTTCTTATAAGCGCCCTTTTCGTGTGAGGGGTGAGAGGAGAGGTAATGAACCAAGTTGTTTTTACTACTTGGCTTTCGGTACCACTTTGTAATATAGCCATTTTCCGATAGGTGAATTTGTACGTTCAAAAATGGAAGCCATTTTTCTTTCGGCTTTTCTCGGGTGAACTCGATATACTCTGACTGTGCATTTAACAACTCGAAACATTTGTCCATTTCCTCTTGTGTTGAGCAAAGGACAAAGCAGTCGTCTACATACCTACAGTAGAGTAGCGGCCCGAGATCAGTCACCGGTGCTTCCACTTTAGACATAAATGCAATGGCAAGACTTGGAGCCAGTGGTTGTCCCATTGCCAATCCTCTTATTTGAGCGTAGTACTTTTCAGACCATCTGAAGATTGAGCAGCTCAAGCATTCTTTTAAGAGTGCCATCAGGTGCTCTATCCTGAAGCCATACATGTTTATTTCTCCTTCGTGTTGTGTAAGGAGTTCGAATATGGTTTGCATTGCGCAGTCATTCGGCATGTTTGTATAAAGGGCGGTAACGTCGAAGGACTCCATCACGCACGCGCTGTTGGGCGGCGCAGTACGTAGACGATCCAGAAACATCTGGGTATTCGTAAGATGGGCTGGAATGTGTTTATGATTATGATATGATCATGATATTTCGCGCAGATCAATAACGTAGTTATTCAGCTATCCATTTCGATTGGAAAAATGTTTTATTTGAAGTTATACAGTTTCTACGAACGTTAAGATAATTTGGTGAAGAAGTTCTTCTGCTCGATCAGAAAGACCCTTTTCTCGACTGTATCGCGACGACAATAAGAAATGGATTTTTTATTACAACAGGAGGCAAACGCCTCAATGTTGTGCCACGACGAAGCTCTCTAGCGTTTCCCAAAACTGAAATTGCATCAAAAGAAAGTCACGCGGACCGCTTGATAGGATACAGCCGATTTGATCTACCACAGCTTCCTGAAGGCGAGGCCAAAACTGTCTTCTATAACTTCACCGTTTCCAGAAGACCAGGATTTGTTGCAACTGGAATAAATAAACCTATTTTTACCAACACATATTTAAATCACTTAGCTTACACGAGGTTGATATAAATTATAAATTTATTCGGCTAATCTTTCAAAGTCTTCGACTTCATGAGAGCCGATGATCCGAGTTGATGGTACACAGTTGTTCGTTACCCCAATGTGGCGTCTTCGTACTCGTACCGAGACGGATCTTCCTCAGTGAACACAGCATGAATGAGGCATGATCACCCTGCTGTGCCTTTTTACACAGAGCGGTTGTGGTTCATATGACTATCCGTTGACATTTCATACTTGATACTTGAATGGCCCGTTCTTAACGGTTGTACGGGCACCAGCATAATCTTCATTTTCGGAGATTTGCTGGCTAAGCTATTATGGTTCCCTGGAAACACAAGCTCAGCTTGACCAAGGTCTGTTCCAGGCCTTCAACACCACAGGCAGTCGCAGTCCTTTTGGATCAGAAGGAGATTTGCCACCATGCAACTTTGATACCAGAACCGTGGTAGATCCTGGTATTGGTTTACTCTAAGCTAGGCTTCTTGATGAAAATACCAGACTCCTTCTCAGCTTGGGAGACCTTCCTGGTGGATGAATCCCTGCTGTACATCGCAGTCCGAAACAATGAAAGACGTCCCAGCCACTATGAGACGGTAAACCGTTTGGAGGATTCGTCGTCAAGAACTTGTAAACTTGAAAACTTGTAGCCTTGGACTAAAAATTTGTATCTTTATCCTGAGCTAAGATATGCCACTTCAAAAGTATTAGTTGAAATCCGCCCTTCATTTCCGAATGATCTAATGACTGTGCTAATGTCAAGCGTACGGTAATGAATACAATGGGCAAAATAATCGATGACTTTATAATCGTATAATAAGCCGTTTAAATAGATAACATAAAATCCCATAAATTACCGAGACACAAACATAAAGGATTAGCTGCAGTGGCAGTCACGATGGCGACGCAGAAATAGGATTTAGAAACAGCAGCGTCCAAACCTTTTGATAGATTTCGAGTAACTTTGAAAAATGCAAGACTAAGCCGGAAACACAGATGCCTTGCCATTCCTCATGATTTGGTGGCTTTAATTGGATTCTAAGCCAGGTCGAAGTACTATTACCCTTTTTGATTGCTCAAGTTTTGCGCATGGTACTACTGTGATCCTCCTTCTGCTTTCTTTCAGCCAGTGTTTTTCACGTCTATCAGTACTTCAATGGTGCGTACGTAACAGTGAGCCACGGAAAGAGTTATTGCGAGGTTCGATATGGCCTCGTGTCTATGTTTTGCAAATATCTCTCATAATGAAGCTGAGATATTTGCAAACACCTGGCTGCTGGTGTCTACGGTGAGGACCCGACACGCTATTACCCACGCCATGGATAAAGCGTTCACTACCACACCATGCGGTTCATTCGTTTCGTCTATCTCTGAATAAGTTTTCTTTCTCAGCATTATCGTGGTTTCATTTCACATAACACCCTATTTTGAAAAAAAAAGTAAACAGTGACAAATAAAAATTATATATACGAATAGAGTTGCATAAAATGCGTTCAGACACTTAAAGAGGCAAAGCCGCCGAAAAGACAGGCATCGAATTCCAGGAACAGATGGTTACAAGCTCGCATCAGCTCATCGAGAGCAGTTCGGAAGATGAAACGTTTTAAAAGAGAGAAGCGGTAAGTTTATGACAACTTTTGAACTCTTTTAGAACTTTGCTAACAACAAATTGCGTAATTTGCCCTTACGGCAGGGACGGTGCTTGCATGAGTTCAGGTACGATATACCTGATCTCGTGTAACAATTGCGGAGATGAATATATTGGCGAAACGGGCAGACCTTTGTGTATCCGTATAAAAGAACACCCAGATGGCAAACGAAAACTAAGACGAAGCACCCCACTAGGCACGCATAGGATACAAAAGCATAGCGGAGACGATTTTGAAGTAAAAGTCAATATCCTTGCACAGGAGTCCAAAACACCAGCGCGAAAACTCCTAGAGGCTTTTTGGATCAATACCGAAAACCCTACAATAAATAGCAGGGACGAATGCCCGGAGGTCATACGCGACCTGATCCCGTATGTTCGCATGGATTTTTGATGTGGGATGGTGCAGTCATCAACCACATGCGACTATAATCAGCTGTTCTAAACTTCCTCATTGGAAGTCACGAAAAAGCGGTGTGTTTTTTCAAGAAGCTGTTGACCATGTAATTGTCATGGAGTTTTTCGTCTTTTTGTAAGTGTGATTGAAGCGTTTGGCCTAGTAGATTGTATATCAGTATACCCTTCCAGGCTCAGGAGAAGGCGATACTACCGAAACGTCAGCCGGTGTTGCATTGTATTGTGTTTCTCTATGGAAGTAAATGTATGCTGTTTAAAAACCTCGCGATTGCTGAACAAGAAAACGACGCATTCATATTCCAATGGAGAGGCTAATAGAGAGTCGATCCTGGGAACTTTTGCTATTTTAGTTGTTTGTTTATTTATATAACTAGGTTAAAGCTACAGTACGGACACCAGCACTTCCTTCAATCGGTCCATTGTCTTGCATCCGCCCTTCATGAAGGCCTTCAAATCTGTGTGTAGACTACGAGAGAGCTCTCATAGAGCGTTCTCTTTTTTTATTCAACACGGGCAATCATCGGCCTTTATACACTGCAAGTAGCTTTTCCGCAGGTAAGTTCTGCCACATCTAACCAACGGCGAATGATTGAGAACCGCGTCTGCGTCGAACAAGCAGCTATGCATATACTGAACTGCACCTATTCTGATTGTTCTGATTTTCTGAGTGCTTCCAGCGTTCTGCTTTAAGATGTCATAACGCTCGATCAAAAGAGAGAAAGAGAAAGCCAAAAACAAAACTCGAATTTGGCGTTTTTAAGCACTATGTTCTATAGGTTATTGAAACGATAGCAACAGTGAAACCATTCCCTCCCTTTCATAACAGAAAAGCACCTAATTGAGCCAGCGACTAAATTTTCACCAAAAATTTAAACATTTAAAAAAATATCCAGTAAACGTTATACCTCAAAGATTTTATAGTACTCCGAAACAGCTTCCTGAGAAAGTCCTGACAGTAAGTCATCGGAAGGATGATCATGATTTTCATTGTACTGAATAGGAAATGTGCATGAATCTGTTCAATCCGCGAAACAATAAGGTTTTGAAGACAATCCAAAAACTGTGAAATTATAAGTATTCCCCACGTGAAAAAGTTCAGTTAAGCCTCCGTTCTTTCGCTCTCCAAATCTTTTATGAGAAAAATACAATTCACTAGATTTATCTAGTCAACGACAAAAATACTTACCCAGTGAAACGCATTATAGCCAGGGAAAGAAAGCACGGAGCCAATACATAAAAGAATTGTGAAGGCTCTCATTTTCATTGGGTTTCTCACCTTAATGTTGAAAATTGAATTGGTTATATATTTGGACAAAAGAACAAAAGCAAAATGTTAGCCAATCTGTCGAAGAGGGAACAGTAAGCAGTTTTAAAAGAGCTAAGTCGACTTAGGAAATGGGAATCCATAAATCTTGCAGTTTTTTGCTTTGTCGGGTACGATGGTGGGATTTGGTGACGTTCAGCACCAATAGAAGCCTTTTATGTTTGGGTAGTTTGGGTGTTTTAAATTTTTAAGAATAACAATGGTGTTTGTTCAGACTGGAAAAGCAGCCGTGTGTGCAAAGTCTACCCGTCACTCAAACCTTTGACTGGTGTGGGGTCTATCACTGGAATATCGTAGGATTCGCAGCTGCGAACATACTGAAAGTTTTATCAGATGCACACTCAGCTGATTCTGCGTCCCAAATGCGAAAAAATTCACTGACTAATCTTGCGTATTCTACTCATTCCATAAACGTTGATCGATCGATGGCCAATATGTGGACTGGAGCCTTTCTCTTAACCAATTCGTACTACAGAAAATGCATTTTTGAGGCATTTCATTGTTATGTCTGCTCTTTTCTTTCTTCGGTGTCATCGTTTCGCTGGTATTTAGAATGCCAGGTTGGATTAACTAAGCAAAAGATAAGCACGCATCCATCCAAAGAAGTTATTTTTGGCTGGAAAATCATTCGGACTTGTTAACTGCTTAGGAGCTCTATGGTGATCTAGCCATTGCACTGAATGGTATTCGCTTTGGAATATGAATGCGCCGTTTTCTTCTTCAGCAATCGCAAGGTTTTTAAACAGCATACATTTAACGTTTTGTTTTCTAGAAAAGATCGATAGAAATAGCTGAGAGGCAGGCGAAACGAAGGACCCGCATGATGTGGTGGTGAACGCGTTACTCCCCGGAAAGGACAATAGCGCGTTCGTTCCCCACCATAGACACCTGCGATCCAGAGTTTTCAAAATATCTCGCACCGTTGTGGTAGCATACATTTACTTCCATAGAAAAACACAATACAATACAACGCTAGCTGACGTTTCGGCAGTATCGCCTTCTTCAGAGCCTGCAAGGGCATACTGATATACAATCTACTAGGCCAAACGCTTCAATAACACTTACACTAAGACGAAAGACTCTTTGGTAATTACACGATCAACAACTTCTCGAAAAACCTACCGCTTTTTCGTGACTTCCAATGAGGAAGTTTACAACAGCTGATTATAGTCGCATGTGGTTGACGACTGCACCATCCCATATCAAAAATCGATGCGAACATACGGGATCAGGTCGCGTATGACCTTCCGGCATTCATCCCTACTATTCATTGTAGGGTTTTTGGCATTGATCCAAAAAGCCTCAAGAAGTTTTTGCGCTGGTGTTTTAGACTCCTGTGCAAGGATATTGACCTTTACTTCAAAATCATCTCCGCTATGCCTTTGTATTCTATGAGTGCCCAGTGGGGTACTTTGTCTTAGATTTCGTTTGCCATCTAAGTGTTCTTTTATACGGATACGCAAAAGTCTGCCCGTTTCGCCAATATATTTATCTCCGCAATAATTACAAAATATCAGGTGTATCGAACCTGAACTCATGCAATCACCGTCCCTGCCGTAAGGACAAATTTCGCAATTTGTTGTTTCACATAGACGGTCATACAGGCGGTTACGAACTAATTGACGACGTAGAGTAGCCGGTGGTATTTTAACTATCGCTACCGATTCCTCTAGAGCTGCCCTTGTTAAGCATCGTTTTATAGCTACGCTTACTTCTTGGCTTATGAAAGGCAACATAAACGGGATTTTCTTTTGGCCAAGTGTTTCGCGTGGGCGCGTCGCTCTACTTCTAAACTTATCTCGTGGAGTTACTATTTCGTAGCCATTGGAGTGGTAATTCACATGTCTTAGCTTCAAGAAACAAACGCAAACGAACTCCTTAAGCTTCTGATAATAGTCAAAATAGGGTTGATAATGCACCAAGAAAATTTAGGGTCACCGTGATTGAGGCATAACAATACCTGAAAATGCGCGCTCGCTATTACAATTGGGCCCAAGTTTCGCACCATCACAGCCCATTTTTAAAACGACCCTGCGTAGGATAGCCTGCAACCCTTATGAGCTTTAAGATCGACTCCGCTATCAGGCCAAGCAAGAAACATCAAATGTAGATAAAAATCAAGAGGCGGCGACACTACCACCATCTCCTTTCCCAAAAACGTTTTTTAGACAGCAGGACCCTAACGATGGAGTTGACATAAAATTCCGCATGTTTTCGGACGGCATTCTCAAGACCCTTGATCACTAACGCGATAGAAAGTTTATCTCTAACCTTAGGACCGCACAAAAATGTGGCATGCGGGAAATTAGAGAATTAATAAACTCGAAAACAATAAGATTGTCTGTTAGTGATAAGGGGGGAGAGTTCGTAATTATTCCTCATCAGATGGATGTTGAGATAACAGAGGAACATCATAGTGATGCTACTCTCTATCGCCTATCCTCTGAAAAGGAATATAAAAGTCAATACCGAAAGCTAAACAATCAATGGGTCAGCGTGGCAAAAGCTGCGGGTTTAAAATCATCGGTTATTTCGCACTTTAAAATCGATAGACCAACATGTCCCGTACTATACCTACTTATTAAAACACATAAGTTGGTATCACCTGATGATCATGCGTCAACCAATCCGTCATCATTCAAGTGTAGACTGATCATCAGCTGTGTAGACAGGCCAACGGAGAGAATAACCTGTTTTTTGAGCCGAATACTTTCCCAGTTGCTTAACCACATACAAGCTCACCTCACAAACACCCAAGCGTTCCTAGAACGTCTACGTAACGCGATTCCTAATAACGCGTACGTGATGGAGACTTTCGACGTTACCGCACTGTACACTTCGTAATGCAAGCCATGTTCGAACTTCTTGTTGACCACGAAGGACGAATAGATATTCACGGCTTCTCCATCCAGCAGCTAATGGCTCATTTAAAGGAGTGCCTAAACTTCTCGATTTTCAGATGGTCTGGAAAATATTTTGCGCAAATAAGGGGGTTGGGGACCGGCACAAAGCCTTGCCATTGTGTTCATGTCTAGAATAGAAGCCCCTGTTCTTGATCTCCGGCCACTACTCTACTGCAGATATATAGTTTATTGATTTGTCGTCTTTTCTACGCAAGAGGAGATGGACAAATGCTTTGAATTATCGAACGAGCAGTCCATAAAAAACAAGCAGATCGAGTACATAAAGTTCACCCTGGAGAAACCGAAAAAAACTGGCTTCCTTTTTTGAACGTTTAAATAAACCTATCAAGTAGCGGTTACTTGACAAAGTGGTATCGAAAGCCAACTAACAAGAACATCCTCGTTCATTTTCTTTCTTCCCACCCTTCACACACAAAGAGGGCGATTGTGAGAAACATGTTTCGAACAGCCACCACTGTGTGCACTACCAGGGAACTAAAGGAAGAGTCGCGCGACTTGGCTCGGCAAATAGCCATCTCCAATGGCTACGAAATAACTAGAAGGAGAGCGACGTGCCCAATCGAAACACATGGCCAAAAGAAAGTCCTGTTTATCTTGCCTTTTATACGCGATGAAGTAAGCGTAGCTATAAAACGATGCTTAAGAAGGGCAGGTCTAGAGGAATCGGTAGCGATAGTTGAAATACCAAAGGCTACTCTACGTCGTCAATTAGTTCGTAACCGCCTGTATGACCGTCTATGTGAAACAACAAATTGCGAAATTTGCCCTTACGGCAGGGACGGTGATTGCATGAGTTCAAGTACGATATTCCTCATCTCTTGTTAAAATTGCGGAGATGAATATGTTGGCGAAACGGGCAAATTTTCGTGTATCCCTGAAAAAGAACACACAGATGCCAAACGAAAGCTAAGACAAAGTACCCCACTGGGCACTCATAGAATACAAAGGCATAGCGGAGATGATTTTGAAGTAAAGGTCAATATCCTTGCACAGGAGTCTAAAACACCAGCGCAAAAACTTCTTGAGGCTTTTTGGATAAATGCCAAAAACCCTACAGTGAATAGTAGGGATGAATGCCCGAAGGTCATACGCGACCTGATCCCGTATGTTCGCATCGATTTTTGATATGGGATGGTGCAGTCGTCAACCACATGCGACTATAATCAGCTGTTGTAAACTTCCTCATTGGAAGTCACGAAAAAGCGGTGGGTTTTTCGAGAAGTTGTTGATCATGTAATTACCATAGAGTTTTTTCGTTTTTCTATAAGTGTGATTGAAGCGTTTGGCCTAGTAGATTGTATATCAGCATACACTTCCAGGCTCTGAAGAAGGCGATACTGCCGAATCGTCAGCTAGCGTTGTATTGTATTGTGTTTTTCTATGGAAGTAAATGTATGCTGTTTAAAAACTTTGCTATTGTTGAAGGAAAAAACGTCGCATTCATATTCCAATACAGAGGCTAATAGAAAGTCGATCCTGGGTATTAGCTTTGTCTTGTAAGGTCTACATTTCGTTGCGGGTCACATAAAGTAGAGGAGAAAGCGTTCTAACTTAATCAATTCCTGAAGGCGCACCATGAATTCTGCTTCATCGAGCATCGTCATAGATGTTTTATGCATATCTGGCCAATACAATGACTTGTGCTAGTTTACCTCTAATCACTGCCTCCACTTGTCGCCATGCAGTCCGAAATTAGGCCCACTAGCGACGTAGAAGAAAGGCAGAGCATTCCACGTTCTCAAAACCATCCGATTAAATATCATCTACTTCATGGTCAAATTTGAACTTTCCTAGAAGTTCCAGAGTAGTTGTTGTAGTGCTAGCTCTACTTACCGCCTTGAGATGGGTGCTGTCAATTGTAAATGAAAATCATACCACAGACGAAATTTTGAGCTCATCAAGCAAAAGAGTGCGAGTTTCACACCATGAGCACAAAATTCAGCTGGAATGGGACCAGTTTAAAATAATGAAAAAATGAATCACATGGAAAATGCAAGGCCTTGAAATTTTATCCAACAGCAGTGGATGCAGCAAAGATTGGTCATAAATTATTTTTCGGCTTGTTCCGATGAAGGCGGCCATTATTTTTAAACTGTTCTTGCACCAGTGCTTTAGGAAAAGGATAAAGCATAAAGCTCTCGGCGTTGATCAATCCCTGAGGGATGCGCCATATATATAGCAACTATTCCCAGAATAGTTTCTATTTCTTTCCATATATTCGTATCTTTCTACTACTGTATGTTTCAGTATTAAGGATCAATTATGTTCAATGTTTCAGGCTCAATAGCGATTCAGGTTTGACTTCAGTAGCATACCAACGATGGCTTATCCGAAGGAGGCGTAACCATAGAACAGTTTACTACTTGCTTGCGAAACAACGAAGCTAATGACGTTTGATGTTTCAGGCAGTTAGGTACAGTCTATTGCGGTCCAGGATCAACAATCCAGATTAACCGCGGTTGCATACGCACGCGGCTTCCGCAGCCGATATAAGCCAGGTGCCTTCGACGGCGGAGACATGCCATCACTCACCTTACCCACGATCGGTAGCGCGGATAATCCGCTCCTCACAACCACATCCTCAATCATCCTCAATCACCTCAACTCATTCTTAGTCATAGTCATTCATTCTTATTCAATCACACTCATACACACACACATTCATCCTTCAGTAATCAGCAGATTATTGTATCTTGTTTCTCAGCTTGTCTAGGGTGCGATGTCAGTAGTGGCGGGTGTTACCAAATGCGTTCTGTTTGCAACGCCATCGGTGGCATGTACCATTCCTCCCACAATGTGCACGCAATGTGTACAATGCCGCTAAGCGGCCAACTTATGCTACATATTCTGCTAAGCCGCTATAGGCTTATCAGTTTTGTAGCCACTTATCATACTGGCCCTTACCCTTAGGCAATGGTGGCACCCATCGATGCTCAAAGTTCACGTTGCTGACATAGCGTTATTCACGACCAGCCGCCTGACTGTGTTCCGTAGATGACTCATCATTCACTGTCCATAGCACCGTCAACACTCATGTAACTTACAGTCCTCATCGATCAACTAAAATGCTCCTCATCTCTATAATGTTGAAATCTTAGCTTGGCCGAAACACGGACAGTCTGTAACCCTCACCACCTCAGCATACTGTCTCCCTCAGCCGCCGCGCCGGCCGCGAATAGACGCGGCGCGGCATCGCTTACGGTTAAGCAAAGGCTACTTCGTTATAATCTCATTATTATTGTTAATATTGTGTTAATGGTATTATAATGTTTGAATGCCATTGCGTCATTGTTAGCCTCACTTCACTACAGGCCATAGCACCTCAGAGCTCTAACTTGTCTCATTCCTCTACCACTACTTCTCTATAGTTACTATTATGTTATTATTGTTGCATTTATGTATATAAATGTTTAATTACCCAAGTTTGAGGTATTGCCGTGTGACTACTACGAAAAGTCCCGCGTGGCATTTATTCACGAAGTCGGGCATTCTGCTAAAAGCTAGTGATTACTGGGTGCCGAGAACTGACTCGAAGGCCTATTTTCGACTAGCAACTACAAAAATATATTCGACTTCATTAAGTGTCGTTGGAGATGATTGAATTCATATCTGGCCTTTACAATGACTCGCAGTGACCTACCGATGCGTCGAGCCAGTGCTGCTATCCTCTCAGACAAGTGGGCTAGCAATTTGCCGACCCCGGAGGTATGGAACGCTTGGTGGGCCATGGGCGCTGGCATCGGTTTCAAGTGCGCGTCGCAGTGGCGCCTCCAACCACTGCGCCATACGAGCCCCTCCTGTGCTTTAGAACGTACTTAAAAGTCTATACCTTCTTTTCTAACGTTCGCTCATTTCTAAATCAATCTGACTGCCTGCTGTCGGGTTGGCTATCCTACGACATAGAAGGGTAAGCTTCGGTTAAGGCCATGTGCACTTTTTCTAGTTCTATCAAGAATTGAATGTCTTCTACTTAACGGAACAAACTTGCCGTGCTGTTCCCATCTTTTTTGTGCGTCCATTGGTAAAATCCCTCTTTTTCAAGTCCTTGAAGTATACATCATCCAAAACATTCGTTGGCCTTGGTGCAACCGGTCAACAATGGCCGATATTGTGATGGTTCTTGGTCTCTACGAATTCCTCTTTTGACAAAGATTAAAATTACTTTAATGGTGCTGACATATTTGCAAAACTGGACCGCAGGTGTCTGCGATGGGAAACGAACGTGCTATTGTCCTTTCCGGGGATCAACGCGTTTACCACCAGACCATGTGGGTCCTTTCTTTCGCTTGTCTCTCAGCTAGTTCTATGGATCTTTTGCCACCAGCAGTCACCTGTCAGCGGGGTCCCACATGGTGTTGTGGTAAGCGCGTCACTCTCCGGAAAGGACAATAACGCGTTCCTTCCCCATCGCATACACTTGCGGTCCGAAGTTTTGCAAATATCTCAGTATCATTAAAGTTATATTTCGCAATATATACCTGGCCGTTAAAAAGAGTAGGCAGTAAATGATAAGCTAAAATAGAGATTAAATTAGTTCGCTCTCGAATTCATTGAAGCACAACCTTTTCACTTTTTTCGATTTTCCAGAAACTGAATGTTCTAAGTAGACTGTGCGCTTCTAGAGCAATGGTTAGAAGTGCTTTGTAATGCACACATGACCCTTGGTCCAAACACTCGTGAAGTACACGTGGCACTTTAAATAAAACTACATTCTGCATTTTTTTTGTGATATACATTTCCAGTTAGCCAACACCAAAATCCACCACCTGGTATCAAGGTCGTGTGGTGGCAAATCTCACCCTGATTCACAAGGGCTACAACTGCCCGTGGTGGTGAAGACTTGGGGTAGACTTTGGCCTCGCCAATCTTGGGACTCCAGGAAACTAAAATGTTATACAGCACAGTTATGCATTTACTTGCATACAAGGAACACATGCAACAGAACAGGAGCTGGCGTTTTGGCAGTACCGCCTTTTTCAGAGCCGTCTTTTTTCATGCGCCTTCTGCTCAGAAAGAAACAAGCAGCTGATTATAGTCGCATATGGTTGATGACTGTGGGTATGTGTTCTTTGTATGAAAGTTAAAAACTTCATTCAGAAACTGTTAAATATGGGTTTTGCTTTCGGTCACTCCGTATATGGTAAAAACGACTCTAAAAAGACAAACTCTCTGAAGTTGACCATTAGGAAGCAAAAGAACACATTGACGACTTTATGTGAGTTTGTGAAAGACAGCGCGCAAGAACTGAATGATTTGTTCCTCAGTGTGCTGCTCAAATAAATGTTAACCTTCCGACATTCTTTTGCCTGTTTTCACACATCGCAAAAATTCTTCATTTTCGATGCAGCATAACAAGTAAGAACGATCTGATAAAGTGCAAACAATCAGTGTTGGCGAAGGTGGTGCTGATCAAAATTTGATGGTTATTCCCACTAGAACACACCAGCGTTACTGATGTATTCAACAGGGCTTCTGTAGTAACCTGCACTGTTTTCGTCGGAACCGTTATTTCCTAAAGAATATTCTGTAGAATGAGGTATCTGTTTCCTGCGACTCCTAGAAATTATTAATGGCTACCGAAATTTCCATGCAGGATGTGGCATACAACCCCTTTTTCCTTATTGTTCAGCGTTTCGAACAGTTTTTGAGTTTCCTTGAACATCGTGTCGTACGACTTTCTCTGAAATGTGAAGGTCTCGTTGAAGAAACACTCGTGTTTATAGTGTAGTTTCGCAATCCTTGAAGAGGTTCCGCTATACGTGAACACTTTGGCTTAGGAAGAACTTCAAGTCGAATACGCTGAACGAATGTAAAGACTCAAAAAGAAAAAAAAATGGGCAAAAATGGGTTACGTATCGTAGAAAATGGATTTAAAAATAAACACTGTAGAACCTTGTCGTTGCCAATCTTTATGTAAGCTTTGAAGAACGTGGTCAACTTTTTGGTAAGTTCGGTAAGGGCTCGTTTAAAAGCCTCGAACTGTTTTTCGTGTTTCTCCGCATGAGCCTTGTACTTATCCTGGAATTTAACATTCTCGAAATCCTGTTCATTATACTTAGGCTGCCTCACTCACTTCAACGCCATGCTTTTCGGCCCAACGTTCCAGAGATTTCTCCATCTCCAGTATACTCTGTGAGGTGTCCTGAAAAGAAATGCGAGTGTAATACAGTGATGTTGCGTCAGTAATTAAATCAGCACTGCTATTTATTCTAGGTTGCTAAAACAATGTAGTAATTATGACTGAAAATTGCAATAAGTAATAAATAAAGAGTTAACATTGTGGTTTTGATTGCAGCCTCAGCTTAACTGGATTCGTTGCCAATTTGGGTCTTCTACATCAATCCCGTTGACAGGTGATTGCTGATGGCAGTGATCGATTCCGATCACAGACACCTGCGGTTCGCACTTTCGCAGATATCTCACCATCATTGAGGTAACATAACAATATTTATTAGTTTGTATGACTAGTACCATGAGAATAGGCGAACTATCCATTCCCACTGGCCGCCGATGGCGTTCAATGCACGGAACTGCACTATCTCTTAGTGAACTTGAAATTCCATTGTTTCCCTTAACTTTTTTTTCCTCAATTGAGGTTTTGCTTCGTTAGTTGATCTGTCAAAAATGTCGATGTAATATTCCTCTAAAGATGCCAAGATACGGACAATACTCGGAACCTCAACTGGGCTTCGAGCCCGCTGTTAACCTTTCTGGCCGCCCAAGTGCTATTCAGTGCTGAGGTGCTTGCGTTCCCTTCTCAATCATGTTTGTCAGTATACTAGTGGTTGCATTTTATACATTACTTTACCATTGAAAAAAAATAGGCCATAAACAAAAGCTAAGACATTTTGATGACGATGTAGTTTACGAGAAGTTTTTGTCCAACTTGAGGAACGCTTACTTCATGGCGATGACGAGCCGTAATCGCAAGATGGTGCCTTTTTTTATATTCTTTTCCTGTAGCCGCAAAAGAAATAAGTAGCGTAAGAGTTGACTGTCTTTGGACATTTACAATAGCAGTTAGTCAAGAATTTCATGTAAAATGTTTCCAGATCTTCGCACTTCTTTGCTCTCTTATCGTCAAACAAACTAGACAAAATCCAACTGACATATCCTACCGTTCCTCATGACCCTTCAGACATGGGATATACAGCGAACTATTGAGATCCGACATGCTAAATGTGATAGACTCTATACAAATTGGATAAGTTGATATCTGCGAAGGAACGTAGTGCCTGCTGATGCCCGTTGTCGCCGAATCGCCATTCTTTTGGGATGCCATGTAACCATGGCAAGAAGGAAAAAAACTGTAGCGTCATTTATTTCTCACCACGATGGATGATGTTAAAAGTTTCTCGTTAAAACTACTGCAAGCGAAAGATGTCGTTCACGATTGTACGGAAACTGACATTATTACCACCAAGGGGAAGCGTGACGGTGGAACCAATCGTCAAGTTCCTTTTCTTCACCAGTAACTCCTTCGTGATGGTTATGCTGGTGTTCCAACACTTCTTACTCAGAATGCTAGGGTGTGCTTGAGCACCTTTGTTGGTGCCTTTGAAGAATGAATTTCACGATGTCGAAAAGCCTATGTTGTTTAAGGACGAAATTTAATCGTAACCATTATTCGGCTAAAGCAACAGTAAAATCCTGGATATGAATTGGTCTTTCTACATTTTTAGTAACTGCATTCATCACGGCACCTGGTTGTGAAAACTCGGAGGGAATCCTCACAGCAATCGTTCCCACTGTTATCTAGATGAGTAGAAAGTTGGGGGAAGCACTCAATTTTTTAGAAGGAATATTGGAAGTGATTATCGTACCCGTGCGATTTTGTAGTATTCCGAAAGAGCCTCCTTGGGCAATCCCTTGAGGAAGTCAAGGTGGGAACAGCCATGATCTTCGTTACTGTCTTCTTGGAAGTCGTTGTACTGAAAACAAGCGTTTGCACGTTTGTATTCTAGCAGGAAAAAATGAAGGTTCTAGAGATATAATGAAGACCTCATAATATTCTAGGTGGACTATTTTTACAAGATTTCTCATCATATTCTCCACTTTTCTGTTTTTCAATGCCTGCACTGCAGAAACGAAATCCGTTAAAATTATTTTACTACCGAGAGAAAATCTCACCTCATCATACGAATCGTAGCCTGGGAAGGACAGCACGGAACCAATGCATAGAAGAATTGCTAAGGCTCTCATTTTCTAGCTGGTTTTCCACTTAAACGCTAGGAAATTTATGAATTCGTTAAGGATTTGAGTGAAAATAAGGGCGTATGCTTGCATCATCAAACAGAGAGAGAACATCAAATAACTACAAAGCAATTAAAATCGGATCTTTGGGGTGCAAAAATTGCCAAGCTTCTTTCGTTTGTTGGCCTCAATGGCAGGAATTCTTAGGAAGCTACCATGAGTGGGTGGAACTGCACGCTTTTATAGGGACAGCAATAACCTTTGTTCTAATTAGAAGCAAAACTGTGCGACTAGCTGTACAAACGTACTCCCACCGTTGAAGTAGCGCGTGATGAAACGTCATCCGGTGGCTTATCGGAGTATCTGCAGCTGTGAACATTTAGGAGTTGAGATCAGGAGCTCTGACTTACTACAGTAAATTTTTGCCGCACTGATGAAGACTGTGTGAATGGCACAGCCAAGGAAAATAGGCCTTTGGCATTTGGTACAGCAGAGAAAATAGATAATCAGCGTCCTACATGTTTAAGCTGAGTTTTTTTTCCTTTTGCAACCTTTTAACCCTTTGTAATGTAATTTTGACATTCTCTATTATTGCACAATAAGTTAAGTAGGTGTCTTGATAATTCTTACAGGCAAGTAGCACGATCCTCACCAAACGATTTGATGCCCCTGGGTAGAAGAAAATTGCCCTCGTTCACCATAGCCTTTCATTTAATCTCAAGCAGTCAATGACCTTCTATCAAGAAAAAATTACAGATTAAAGCACCGCAGTTTTTTTAAGATACCATTTCACAAGCCAAAACAAAAAAAATGTGCAACAAACATCTTTATTATCTTAGAGATGTTCCGTGTTATTTCTCTAGCTGCTTGTCTTCGCTGTAGGAAGGCAGTTCGCGTAAAACTTCTTCTTCCCGTACAGCATTTGTGCTCCGTTTAGCTGGTACACCACTTTGATAGGTCATCTACGCCCACGTCCGCCAATATCCGTGAATATCATTATGCGTCTGTGATTGTCATCTTTGCTTAGCTTAACTGTTAATTTTGTTCTCCAGCACGGGCTGAAATTTCTAGGTTTTACTACTGTTTGATAAGACCAGCTCCGATCTTCGTTAGCGATAGGAATGAGATTTAATTCACTTGTCTCTATATACACAAAAATTTTCTAGTAAACTGAGCCACATGCATTTAATTCGTAGGCTTATAGCACTTCCCGAATAACTCAGTAGCCCGAAATAGTGCTGTTGAAAGCGTGGGCCATTGGCATTCTATCTGTTGGCTTGCAAGTTCAGCTATGAAACTGGTTACTACTTGTTATTTTGCTGCTTTCTATCTGTATAACGTGCTCTGAAGTTTTCACTCCAAGGAGGGAAATATATGAAGAGAGCATTAGTCTTCTATAATTCTTACCAGCTCGTATGTCCACATAAACATAAAAAGCATATATAAGGGCTATACAACAGAGGCAAGGGTTCCATCTCCTAAACCCCTCTCTCATGTTGTCCAATCTCCTACTTTGCACCTAGATATAGCTCACATGTTGAGCCATGTTTATGGCTATGGAGCCTAGTTAGCTGTCAAAATTATAGGTTAACTCACACTCAGGTAGGGATTTTTTTATGCAATAAACATTTGAAGTTAATCTCATAAACCTTTTCTGTGTGCGAATAGGGAGTTGATTTTCAGTAATTGGCCGTTCAAGCCAAATATGAATGCCAAATTTGGGGTTTGTCATCAAAGCGCCTTCATTTCCGGATTTTAGAAATCGAATGCTGCCTCTTCAACCAGTTTGTTTTTTTCTGAATACTAAAATAATAATTGCACTTCAAGAGCAATGAAAGTACTTTAACAAGCTAGACCTTCTCTCGTTTCAAAGAACGGTTGTATCCGCATACATGCCTGCGCGACTTCCTCCTGCAATGGCTGTAATAGTTTAAGTACTTTCCTTTAATGCAATATTTTGTACACTGAGTAGCTTCTTGTACACAGATATTCCATCAGCTTTGAGAGTACCGTTCGCTTAAAAAATTAAATCAGCTTTGATCCGATAAAGGTGCATAACTGTGGGTTCCTTACAAGAGTGCTTCTGCAGCAAATCTTGAAATGTCGGTATTTAGCTACTGTTTTCAAAATTTTAAGAAAACTTCTATGATAGTATAAAATTTATTAGATTGGGAAAAGTAAAAATGGGATCAGAGAGAGCATATCATAACGAGTGCACAGTTTTCTTTATCTAGCTGAATAAATTCGTCATGGAATTGTGCAATGTAGGCGCAGCTTCAGAACAGCTGCTGTACTAACAGTAGTTCCAGAGATCAGAGGAGGATCACTAGTTCAAATTGACCAATCTTAAGACTAGATAGACCTGCAGTGTTTCTATATGATGATCACTCAAATCGCTATGGAAAAGCAACCGCATCGTGCTCACCGGATTCAATAGAACTTCTGAAAATTTTTATTACATAGCTTGATTTCACAATACAGTGTGAGGGAAATGAATGGTCCGCAAAAGGATTTAGTCGCTAAGTATAAGACCTTTCTAATCAAGCGGATTCTTACATAAACGTGGTGTTAAAGCGTTTTTCGTAGCGTTCACAGACGTTACCTATGTTTTCGGCTAATTTTTGAAAGTACGAGAGCCTACTAGAAACCAAAATCAGTGTAACGTACAGAATACCTAGGACTGCGAGCGGATACATCTCGTCATAACGCACTCAGGTATCCTGCATACTATTCTCCTTTCGCTCTCGAGAAAACCGTCTTCTAATAAGAAATGTTGTGGGATTATAATGCATGAAACTCTTAGACTGCTGCCTATACAAAACATCCACATCCATTTACTGTCACTTCAGCCCCTGACAGCTGTAAGCAAGCAGATCACTCCATCCAGTACCTTGTTTCCTTCTCATTTTCATAAAAACGTTATCGAAACTGGCTTTCACGGCTGCTACGTATTTCAACGGCTTTAGTGATTTTTCTATATTTTAAGATACTCATGTTCGTGGCAAGCGCACAAGCACGGATGTCGTTAAAATAACTGGCGCTAGGCAGTTCGTTGGATATAATATTTAGAAGAGCTCTCTCTGAATCTCAAGTCTGGCGGCGGTTTATGGTGAAAAACTGGAAATGTCCTAGTATAACCCTGTATCCATTCCAAGGAGAACATACTCGATCTGGATTTCAGGACGTTCGCGAAGGTCATTCGTTCTCCTCAAGTAGAAGCTGAACTCCTAGCGCATACCCAAAGACTTTCGTGGATGATGAATACGAGGAAATAAATCGAGTTAAACGAGAGGTGGGATTCGCACATTGCGCATTGTTGAATCCTGTAAAATTGATGAAAAGTTTTTGCAATAAAATATGGCTAGCGAGCAACACACGCGGTATATTATGCCGATTTTGAATATTACTGGTAATTTATTCCTCGATTTTATGCTTTTTTGAAAAAATCGTTACTTCGCTTTTACAAGGCACTCTGTGCTTGAGTGTTTTGCAGGCAAATAGGAATCTCGCTATCTGTCGTTTGGAGACGGCTTATTTTAATTTTGTTCAGATTTGCGACCGTACCGTCCGTTCACCTACCCTTCAGCTACCGCACTACCTTTTGTAAATCTAAAATCAACACTGCGCATAGTTGGTACTGTAATCCTCATTCGAATTATCCATGACTTATTTTATTTTATAACGAAAATGCGTAGCCCTTTAGAATCATATGTAACCAGAATAAATGAAACTATGCCATGCTGGTTAATTCTGTTAAGTCTAACGCTTTTTACTTTGAATGTTAAAAGTGCCTTTCGCCCTGATTGCAACGAAAAAATTCCATAAGCAGAAAATGCTCTTTCTTCCAGTTACTTGGTGTATTGTATTTAGGGTAGGTACTCAAACCGGCGAAATATGTAGAATTAGTGGGGGTCTGATATTTTAGCGCGAATGTCACCTAAAGCTTGGAAACTCTATCAATACGTTGTAGATGCTTTGCAAAAGTAGATATGATACATGTGAAATCTTTCATTTAACCTGTTCGTTGGGAAACAGCACATAAACAATCAAATGCTGGGATATATAAACGCACGAATGCGCAGTTTTGTTTATTCCGTTTAAGGTGGTGATGCGGTAAGGTAGAAAGCTCTATTGCTGGCTGCACACACTTTTGGAAAAACGATAGCGTTGTTTATTCAGATTGGAAATATTAGTGAACAGTCGAAAGCACAAAGTTTTGTCGTACATTACGTGGGAGGCTTGATGGAATATATCCGCTCCATTATATGCGTATTGAAGTTTTCGTCGGAAACACTAAGGGGTAAACCGCATAATTAAAATACAATACAAAATCTGAACCAGAGAATCCTGACCATTATTTGAAGATAATGTGAGAGGAAAGCCTCATTACAGAAGGCTACAGCTCTAACGTCCAAACTTTAACAGAGCTTTCATTATCGTAGCCCTTTTCACACCTTCAGTGTTTTGTCAGGTATGAAGGTAAACTGCTTTGACAGCAAAAATTCGGAATGAGGGTGAATGTAAGAAAAAGGCTTACACTAAATTTAGTGATATTTGTTCAATTTTCACGTTCAGTTTCTGTTTCCTTCACAAACAGCTATACCTTAGATTTTTATGGGGACCACTCCATGATTTCTTTTGTTTCTCTTCGTATTTTTGTTGAGCAAACGCGAGGTGTTACTATTCTTTGTTCACGATTAAGCTGACGTTTCGGCGAATTTCGCCTTCTTCAGAGTCTGGAAAGGTCAAGTTGACAGCAACTCACTCGGCCAGACGCCTCCATAACCAAACAAAGAAACCCCAAACCAAGATTTCAATCACTTTGAACACAGCTTTGCACACTCACCGCTTTCTATGAGGTTTCCACTAAGTATGTCACGTAGAGACCAACCGCACAGAAATCACGTGGAAGTATAATGTGCCCCTCACAACAGAAAAGCAGTTTTATATACTGCCCTATATCACGCGTGATAATGAGGCATTCTTCCCTGCGGTTCATTTTCGGATTT